TTTTTATTTCGATCAAATATATAATCTTTTTTTAAACATATCTTCAATATTTAATACTATTTAAACCCGTATTTTTTATATCATAGAATTACTACCAAAATTTCCTGTAGTCAACTGTGAATAAAATCGGTAAAAAAAAAGTTGACAGAATCCCGTTTTATCCGACAACAATTGATTCGCACTTTTCGCGCTGGTGTTTTTACTCCAACCAGTCGTTCATTCAACTTCATAAAAATTTAAAATGACTTGCACGCAGACATACTTATCAACTTAAGTACATAAATTTTGACACGAATTTGTCGATAATAACCAATAAAATTTTATATGGCAGCACTCGCTTGTTATCAGCATCAACGCGATCTCTGCGGAACACTGCACAACGTAACAAAGGAGACAAACCGACATTCACCCACGTAAGCGCATGTATGTATGTGCATATGTGCACCCTGTACTATGACGTTGACCATCGTGTGACAATTTGCACTTCCATAATGCACTTTTTATGGTTATCACCAGAGTCATTACGGGCGCTGCTGCAGGCAATTTCCAAACATAAATGTTATACATGCACAAAAGAAGCAGCACTAATACTACATACAAACAGTTGTAGAAAAATATGGCAAATGAGAAATATAAACAAAGCAAGCGATGGTAAAAAGAGAGTACATATGTACATATATTTATGTTAGAATAAAAGACTTCCAACGCAATAAAATAGACACGAACGCTACAAGATGTAAAAGCTTATAAAAAGAAACAAACTCCTTCACGACTCAACAAAAGGATTGCAAAACGTAGAGTGGAAGTAAGCCAACGCCTTTCATACGAAACGTTAGCAGTAATCGAAAAGGACACGAAAAGATTTTTACACAAATAGGATAAGAAAGCATGTGCAGCTAGATACTGTTTTCGCACAGCAAAGGACCTTGTAAGAGACCCGGTAGAAAACGTTAAAAGTCATGCGGTGGGTTTAGTAGGGAAAACAATTCGTCTCGCGGTCTTTGGCCTTGAAGAAGTGTATCTTTTTCCTTAAAATTAAATTTCAAAATAAACGAAGCAATCAATAAGCGCATGAAACTAGGGGTCTAATATAGTAAAGCTGCATTTTTAGTTTTTACTCTCTGACGGCAGGATTTTTTTAAACGGACTTGGAAATTTTAGAGATATGCTTATTTCAAAAAATTATTTTAAAAATGCAGTGAAGTGCAAAGTAACAATATGAGTACAAAATGAAAAAAGAATTTTGTGGAATAAAAAAAAATATATAATAATTTTGGTTCATTTTGGCTTTTTACCAAAATAAGTTTTTTTCTCCTCAACTTACAAGTTTAGAAGGTCGAAATTCCTTAACGTATAATTTTTTCGAAAATGAATATTGAAATTTTTCAAGGATATTCAAGGATAGGTACAATTTTAAAAATGAATTTTTACTAGCAATTCGTTCTTGTGCACAAAATAAATTCACCTTTTCTTATTTTATAGAATTTTCGCTTTTATTTGTTACCCATATTGTTATTCTATATTTCACTGAATTTTTTAAATAACCTTTTAATTAAATAAATTCTGAGGTTCGAGAAAAACCAAAAACGCAGTTTCAGTATATTTGGCCATTGAGAGTATTGATTTTTTCTTTTTTGTGTAAATTTTACAATCGCAGAAAATACATGCATCGAGAACTCCTATTTATTTCAATTTCAATTTCGATTTATTCAGTCTATGACATGGTATATCTTACAGACTAGAGGTACATATACAATTTTCTTAAATCTAATGTATACGCAGATGAAAACCCTTTATGGAAAATTAAAACTAACAATACAGATCATCTATGGCTGACTTAAAAACAGACCTTTGTGATGAAAAATCAATATTTAATTGTTTTGAGATTGTATTATACTCTAAAAGGGCACTGAATATTGGTGCATGAGAAGAATAATTAGCTGTGGCTACAGAAAGATAAAATGGTTTGTGAAATCGAAGAGCTTTGCTGGATATATTAAAACTAATCAACCCTAGAAGTTCGGAACAATCAATGACTCCATTAATTAGATCGTAAACAAACATTAGAGACTGGATTGTTCTTCTATTCTCAAGTGAATTTAGGCTTATTAACATACAGTGAGCACTATATGAGGGCAGCGGCTCTTCAAATTTTATCGATTGAAGTGCAAAGCGAATGAACTTACGTTGCACCCTTTCAATTCTAGTAGCATGGCAATAATAAATCGGATTCCATATAATAGCGGCATACTCAAGTTTTGAATGAACCAAAGTATTGTAGAGAAGTTTCCGGGTATACGGATCCTTGAAATCCTTTGAGTAGCGGCGCAGAAAAGCAAGGTTACTGTAAACCTTAGGAAGGACATAACATATGTGATTTCTGAACGAAAACCGATTATCGAATACAACTCCAAGATCAACAAAATCTTTAACTGAAATAAGTTGGTGGTTAAAAATAGTATAGCGCGATTGCCGAAACTCCGGAGCTTTAGAGATAGACATATGAAAACATTTGTCAATATTAAGTGAAAGTTTATTCCTGCGACTCCATTCGACAAGATTATTTAAGTNGGATCCTTGAAATCCTTTGAGTAGCGGCGCAGAAAAGCAAGGTTACTGTAAACCTTAGGAAGGACATAACATATGTGATTTCTGAAAGAAAACCGATTATCGAATACAACTCCAACAAAATCTTTAACTGAAATAAGTTGGTGGTTAAAAATAGTATAGCGCGATTGCCGAAACTCCGGAGCTTTAGAGATAGACATATGAAAACATTTGTCAATATTAAGTGAAAGGTTATTCCTGCGACTCCATTCGACAAGGTTATTTAAGTCCTGTTGTAGGAGATGAGAATCAGTCTCACCGGTAATACTACGAAAATACTTCAAATCATCAGCATAAAGTAAAAAATTCGAGTTTATAAAACAGGAACCAGTGTCATTTATGAACAGAATAAATAAAAACAATATTATTGCACAATCTTAAGGTGACTATAAAGAACTTTATGACAAGCTTCATTTTAAATACGATTTTGCAATAAAATTTTGTTAAATCAAATGCTTCATGCCGTATGAATTTGAAAATATTCATCTGTCTTTGTACGTATCAATTTTACCAATTATTATTATTGCTGCCAATAAGCCAATAAATTTCCAACTGGCCAAAGCTGTTTTGCTTTGTAGATTCCAACACATGAAATGTACATAAACAAGATGGTTGGCTGAAAGAGCCACAAATGTAGCAGAGCCAGAGTGTGCTTTTGTGTTTAGCTGCCTGTCATTTGCTTATAAATAAAAGTGCATACATTCGCATATTTGTATTTGTACCCAGACCCAATTCGGCTTGAGTCCTGAGCGCCTGATTGTGTTAACGTGCGTGCACTGGGAAAATAAACACAAATCATCTCAGCTGCTTGTTTATGATTTTTTTTTTGTTTTTCATAGATTTATCTATTTGCAGATATACATACATACATATGTTCACCTACCCAGCTAGCAAAAAATCCGAAAATCGATGTGAAAGGCGAACAGTGATTAAAATGCGTTTTTTCACGTTTACCGAATCCATTTTCGGATGATTTGACGATCCGTTTTCCCACTAAAGTGTGCATCAGAATAATATGTACAGACAAACGGCGACTGAGTCTCTTTCCAACTGCATATGCCAACCAAATTAGCGCTTCTTCACACAGCAGCTTTATTAGACGTCGCAAGACCTTATGTTTTTTTTTTCTGCCTTGTCCCTTGTATTAAGAGTCAATACAGGGTCCAGGATACGTGTTAAAAAATTGCTACAATTTATTCGGAGTTACTATTTTCTCAACATTACTGCTTCGTTAGTCGATAGAAAATTGCTTAGTCCCAGCTGTAGGTCATTAAAAAATAAATTTGATTTCATATCATTAAGAGTCGTTTCTCTTGAAGGTTTTAAAATTTATCAGTCTTTTAAACACAAATCTTATTTTGAAAAAAAACGGCACTTATTCTTGTGAACCGTCATCCTCTTGCATTAACATTTCAAAGAAGCCTTTTTTGTTTTCCATTATTTTTTTGGTTGATTAATATTATTTTATTAGTTTATCACTTTTAGATATCGACAGCAACTTTGATAAGTTTTTGGAAAATAGTAACTGATATTTTCCAACGTAAAGCGAAGAGCACAATCGAAGGATGTGTAAGCAGAGTGGCACGAAGCGATAAAAGCCAAGAAACACAAAACTAAAAGGCATCCACAGTAGCAGTAGAATTTGAACATCTACTACTCGATACTATGACAAGATAATTGGAACTGGTTTATGTGTGTAAATATGTAGCATGTTTGTTTGTACAGCCGAACATAAATACATACGTGCATATGTATATGTATGGTTGGAGTAAAATTTTGTAGGGTTAAAAACTGATAGCAGCTGTAATGCAATAGCAGCATCAATTTGTGCTTCCAAATTCTTT